TTACCATCCCACAGGCTGTGCCAAAGCCCTGTATTTTGATTAAATATATGGGTCAACATCTCTGAAAGACTAACCAATCCCTCCAAAGTATGTAACAGACAATGCAAACAAAACTCATTTTTAGCGTGCTGCATAGGACAAAATAAGAGAAAGTGGTGAAATGGCTGTCATCTTCATCAGCTGGGTTACAATCCATCTCTTTAGGGTATTTCTCACCAGTAAACAAGATACTGATATAGGTCTACCATGGTTTTTGGACAACTGTGGAATCTAGATAATTAATCTGTAACAATAGAACATAGAGAGCTATACATATAATATATATAGCAGTATATTCTGGCAATTTGCATATCCACAAGCAGATACAAAATTTTGCTTTAACACAAATAATTCTTTACTTAAAGCCAAATAGAAATTTTTTCCTTTCATCTAATTTATCTTTCACAGTGTCTGGGTTTTCCATTAAAGTCAACAGGATTTTGCAATTTGAAAGAACAAGACTTTAAAAGTATACCTCATTACATGAATGTAGAAGAAAATGTCTTCCCAAGTATTTTAAATACATTTTTGGAAAGTAACCGACAGTAAACAAAGATTTATTGTTACATAAATAAACAATGAGACAATTACAGCCTCTTTATGGAGACCATATTAGTCACGCACATCTAATGAAGCATTACTAAGCTATCACAGGGAGATAGCCTGATGTGTGTGATTAACAAAATAATACTCATAAATAGCTAATGAACAATGATGGTTCCTTAAAAATTTTGCATATCCTGCTATATTGAGAGTTATGGTTTTTGTCGCTTTCTAAGGAGCATATTAACCACTAAGTTCTATCCTGAAAAGGAGAATATGAAACAGCGTAATGCAACTATTTGCATTTTTGCCTTCTACAGACTAGGCTTTTGAAAATATAGAAGAACTCTTATGAAAGTCTATTAATGAAGAATACATTTCAGTTTGTGCCATACTGTGTTTGAAAGATGACGACTTCAGGTGTCACCAGGATGCAGGGGGAATATGACAGAACAAATGGACAAAAATTGTTTTCATATAATATGCAGCCACAATATCTCTGAAGTGGCATTGGGTAGAAAAAGTCTGGGTTCAGTAATAATTGTGGTAGATTTTTTACATTAATAAAAGAAAAAAAAAAATATTTCCTTCAGGTGAGGTATATGTTTGGCAAACATATTCTGGAGAAGGCAAGTGGGATGGATGGCCCACATAGACAAAGGTACATTTATAAGAAAAAAACAGGGTCAAAACCCATGTGTAATGACAATTTTTGGCATATAACCAGAGAACATCCTGTTCATAAACACAATTTTGGATTATACAGCTAATGTTGGGGCCTTAAGAGCAGAACAATTTGTGGTGGTCTGCCTGCGTGAGTGGCTCCTCCAGCAGATGAGTGGGTCCATAGAACAGTTTACGAAAACTGCAGGCTTGCAGGGTGACCTGCTGAGCAGGGCCCCTCCTGTCACTAGAATTTGACTAGAATTCCAAAAGTGCTATGAAGGGACCTATTTAGATTAATCCATGGAACAGAATGATGAAATATAAGAGAGGAGTGGTGTTATTTCTATTGCAGTGCGATAGATGAACTAAATTGTATCGCATCTACAGTGCAAACTCACAGCAAATCCTTCTTGTATTTTACTTGCTGAGGTAAATTCTTCCCAAATGATATTCCACCTTCAAGCTAATCTCCTTCATGGATAAATTTACTCAAAGAGCAGAATTCCTGATGGCTGGAATAATAGCATTACTAAAATCAATATTTTTTGATGAATATTAGCTCTGGAACATATTAAAGAGAGCTATAAAGTACAGGGGAAAAAGCCTTGCTTATCATTTTCAGTAGTAACCCAACTACAGCCCTTCATCTGTAATGAGTTATGGAGCAATTCCCCTAAATCATATGTATGAAGTCAGCTATGACACTGTCAATTTTAAAAAATTTGCTAGTTTCGAGCTACAAATTGATTTTTTATTGTGATGAATTAAAATCCAATAGTAGCCTACAAGATACTAAACATACAGAAGCCTACATTTTTTCAGAATATTTTTTCTCTTTTCTATCATATCAGACTGCCACTGTGGCAGACACGATAGCAATAGCCAATGATAAAAATGAAGAAAGGCCACACTAGAGAGATAAATAACCTTTCCGAATAAACAATAAATGAGCCCTGTGGCCCAAAATATCCTTCTGGGAATTCCAAAATCATGGAAACACAACTAAGGGAGAAAGCATTGTGGGGGACAGGAAGGGCTGTGAAAGGAGGAGATTACCCAGGCTGTTTCCTATTAAGGGTGTATTTTTTTCCCTGTTGCACAAATCCGAACATCAGTCTCTCAACTTTATAAACCGTTAAGTTTAACACGGATATCAGAAAATCTGTGTGAGCAAAACATAACCTTTTTGCAACTTCTTTTGCTTCCTTCCTATCAAAAGATCCAGGCTGAGCAATCATACATCCACAGTTTTGCCAATTTGGGGGATTTTCCTTGTTGCTTCGAAATCAAGAATGGGGTTATCAGTGTCCTGCATCACCTAATTGCATCGCCCTTATTTTGCCTTATAGGAGGTTCCACACTCTAGCGGTAATGCAGCTTTCTTTGGGGGTGACTTCAGCACACAGACATCGACGTGAGACTACGCAGGCGGTATTATTTACTACTACGACAGCTGACACCTCTTAACATTACACCACAATAAGCCAAAGCCTTATGGATGAGACACAGTGCAGTGGGAAAAAGCCGAAGGGATAGTGGCTGTGAAGAACTGGCAGAGGAGTTCATGCACCCCTGCTTCAAAAGCTTGGCAGGGAAAGCATGATTCTCCTGCTTTCAAAAAAAACATTTGAAAACTGATGTCGAAAGCTCCCCACGTCCCTCTGTCACAATCCTGTTTCAAGAAGGACAACTCAATACTCCTGTCCATCACTCCGGCAGCTCACGGGCAGACGTCTGGAAGGTGGATTTAAGGGTTTCAGTCTAAGCCTCAGTGAGTGAGTGACAGGGTTACTGTAAGGATGATATAGTTATGTCGGATTTTGAGTATGGGGTGTCAAAGTTATGAAATGAAGAAGACTTGCTCTCACGTCTCCACCTCCCTAGTTGCAGATAGGAGAGTGTGCAGGACGCTGTAGGAAAGGCAATTTGGCTAAACCACACCTTTGTTTCTAAACGCATTCCCTTTTCCCTCTTTATTTTATGAAAATAAATCCTATGTTCATGAAACATCCAGAGACAAGCGCCACAGGACAAATCTCTCTCTTTCTTCTTATTTTCCCAAGAAAAGACTTTAGTAGTCTTAGGAAAGTAACTGTGGCCTCAGTGCAATTTGCAGATGAAAAAGACAACAAAATATTACCAAATTGTTCGGTGTATTACACTCTGTTCTGTACACTGAAAGAAGCTGGTATTCTCCGGCCAAAAAAAAAAAAAGGTATGTCAGTACACAGTTAAGTACTACCCTAACATCTATTTATTAGAGGACCCAACCACAACTGCACTGGCAGCCCCAATCCTGACATTTCCTGTCTTCTGAGCACAGGCTGTAACCGCAGCAATGTTCTCTTAAACACTGCTTTTGTATGAATACTTTACACATGCTGTACACAACACATTCCAAATGAGCTTTTCATTACTAACTACTTGTATTATGTATCAGTGAGCTCAATGACATTGATTTTCTAATAATATAAATTAACTGGCAAAGATAATTTCATCTATCATCAGTAGGGTTTTATTTCTGGCATCATGTTAAATAGTTAATCTTTCAAAAGATTAAATCAAGAGCTTTTTAAAATTCAAGGCAGAGCTTAAACTGCTGAAAAAATCTTCTTAATTAGGATTAAAACAGTTTGTGTGTTGTCTCTTTATATCTAAGTAGTATAATGTTTTGCTTAGGTTTCTTCTTTCAGAGCAATTTTAAAAATCAAACATGATATTGCTGTGGCAAAAACTGTGTAAGGCATGGAAGTCTCCTGGAACTTCCTCGACCAGATGCTACTGGATGAGTTGCTGCTTGGTAAACCTCAAACAGCAACCTCAAACTTTCCAGTTTCTTTTACCTCTAATTCCATACAGTATATACTTTTCCTACCACTGAGGATACAAAAGCTCTGATTCTTGTGGTTACTGCATATCTGACAGAAGACAGTCACTGCTGTTAACAGGAGTGTATCGCACTATGGTGACCATGACTGCATTGATCTGGAATTATGGACCTGATGGAAATGCTTTAGGATTCCCCTGGGACATCTTCAGGGCAATCCCAGGGAAGTGTGTGCCGCTCCCAGGAGCTCCCAGTGTCCTTCCTTGGCTCTCATATCTATCTCAGGCTCGGGGAAAACAAGCTTCACTCTCCTGGGGTTGTCTGCAGCTCCCTGTTCCAGCTTGTTTTCTTCTCCTCAGCTTCCCATGGCACGAAGGGCCCAATGCAAGACAATCCCAGCCTCTAATCCTAATCTCTTGTCATTAGATTCTCAAAAGTCACTTGGTACTGCCAAGGAGTCTTGAGTGGCATCCAGAGGGCTGGTGCAGTTGGGCCCAGACTGGATGAGAACACCCATATGGGCACAGACACCAGCCTGTACCACGGACTGCCAAAGCCTCCTGCAAACAGTGGGCTGGTATTTCCAAGAAACATTTTTTTATCTGGCAGAAGGAAAACAAATCCCTTCTCGCCACTTTTTGGACTCAGAACTGTGAGTGTTTATGCACGTAAGGAGCATCTGTGTTCTCAAGTGGTTCTGCAGAAATATCAAGGACAAGGCTTTACAATAAACCATGTCCCCATGCTACTCTTTACACCTCAGTCATCTAATGGCTTGCTCCGATATATGATAACCATTTATCAAGCCTGTCAGATGCTTCATGTGTGCTTACATTGGTGAGAGAAAGCTCAGCCAGGAAATGCTTTTAAAGAAACATCCAAGAAAACATTCAGTTTTGTTCCATTACATGATGATTTTACTTACCCCTGTCTTTTCATCAAAGATTTTGATTCCCCCAAAGGAGACTGTTAAGAAGATTTTTTGTTTATGTTCTCCTTTCGAACGAGCCGCAGCAACAATTCCCTATAGAAACAAAGAACAGTTTGGCTGGTTTCATTACTCTTCTTAGGAGCCACAGCAGAGCACAAAGATTTGCTTGCTGACAATTCACCACTTTTGTAGGAAAACTTAAGGGCTTTCCAGAAAAAGTCCCCCTCTTACTTCTGGCTTCCTCCCTTGTCTCAAGGTACCACATCCCTTATGCTACCCAGAGAGCACTTCAGACGTGCTCTCCCTTCCAAGGCCTGTACTAGCTAATCCTCCATGAAATTTGTTTTCATGGAACCTCAAGGTCATTTCTAGCACACTTTTCCCAGCTATAAGCTGTTTTGTTGTCTTTTTTTGGGTTTTTTTCCCCCAAGAGGAAAAAAACAAGCGGTGAAGAAAAAAATACCAACAACTTTAACTTACTTCCACTTACCTGGAATAACCAAATTGAGCTTTTTATAGAAGAAGAATATTCTTCTCAAAATTAAACTGCACCTCTGCTGTAAAAACCTGGTATTGAGGGTTAGTTTTTTCCTGATCTCAGGCTTTTATTTTGTAAGTGAACTTGCTGATACACATCTCACGTATTATCCTCCCAAAGCATAACAGTAACTTCTATTTTCACCTTCTTGGGAGCCTGTCCTGACCAATAACACTATACTAAGATCAAATGTAATCAATTGCACTAGTAAATAAATGAAAATATTTAGCCTTTAGCTGGTGCTCTGCAATTGCAACATGTTTTAACAACCACTAACTTGTGGTTGAAGATCTTAATGAGGTCTGTGTTCTCATTACACAGACATAAAAATTAAAGAGAAAAAATGGAGTCATTTGTCAAAAGTCACCCAAAACTTTATGCCTGGCCTTAAAATTCATGTTGTTAGACAACACATTTCCAGAGCAGACAACTTCACGCTATGCTGCCTTACACACAAACATGAATTTCTAATGCTCCCTTCCCTTAACAGTTTTAGTCATCTCACAACACTGTTTAGATCAACCTCGCCACTCTGCAAACAGGTATTGGGCACCTGGGAGATGTGGAAATGGTCATCCATGGAGGGGACAGACAGAAAGGCTTGTGCAGCAGAACAGTGACAACTCTCCCAAATTGCTTCTAGGAACTATGAAATTATGAGAAATATCCAATATACAATTAAACCAGATAGGAATATTGAAGCAGATGTGATAAATCAACACTGCACCTTTTAGAATAGATTATTTTTTGCTTGTGTTAAATGTTTCTAACTGATTTGTAAATTATCTACCAGATCTTTCTTTTAGATTGTTGAACCATAAGATGCATGTCACCCCATGCTGTTTCTTCATGAATAACTACCTAATTCCTCCCAGTTCCTCGGGACTGGAACCCTGCTGCTTGGTAGTGTAAAAGATATTATTTAGTGATTTCTTCTCCTGAAAAAAATGAGTAATGGGAAATCCATCAGCTCTCTTGGTAGAGTGCTGGGGAGAGGACTGGAAGGGGGGAAAAAAAAAAAAAAGGAAAAAGCCTGCAGAGGGTTTACTCCTAGACTTAGCTTGTAACCCTGCAGTGCAGGTGGGAAGCCAATGGCCAAAAAACTGCACTGCCAAAACCACAACCTATCCTTCCTTCTCAATCACTCCAGCTCTTCCACATTTCCCAGGGCCACATAATGGATGCTTCCTATAGAGAGCTCTTAACGCTCTTTGAGGGTCGTAGGAAAAGTTTGAGCCAGAGAGAGATGTCTAGCATGCCTCAGAAAGTTCACCCACCTACACCACTAGTGCTTTCAGACTCTAAGTTTACTCTCTAAGTCTACTCTCTGCAGTCTGCTCGAAATCTGCTTTTGTCACTGCTCCATTTCTTTCCCAGAACTCTGGGGACTCCTCTTTATCGTCTGTCTTCTCACTGCACTGCCTCCTGATTGTGTAGCCTGTCAGTCCTGCCATTACAGGTGCAAGACATTCTCCTCCCAGTGAGCACACTGGTCCCCCCTGTATCCAGATACCTACACCCCAGACTGTCACTCACCCCTTCCTGCCTGTCCCGACAGGGGATAACAATCAAAGGCAGGGCTGTAGTTGATTAGCACTGCCATACAAAATGTTCGGATACACCATTTTTCTTCATAGTGCTTTACCTCCCCTTTGCATAATAAAATTATTCAATTTGCAGATGTGTTGTTTATAATTTGTGGATAAATTGCAGCGGTGTCAATCATGAATAACTACTGAACTCAGAGATAATGTATTAAAATGAAACTGGGATAAGCAATACCAGCCAGGAGTTCATGTAAAATTGACTGATTTCAATACATAATTAACCAGAGTGTGACTCAGTGTCATGGAAGGAGAATGAGTAAAAGTTCAAGCTGAAATTCGCTCCCCTTGACTCCAGAATATTAAACATTAAAAGTTCCACTGAACCTTGAGCTTCATCATGGAGTCTTGGCATAACTTGTCTCCTCGTGCGGCAGAAACCTCATCTATCCCAATCAGTTTTGCTTTGTATCGGACACCGTCACCTTTAAACCTCTTTATTAAAGTGGCTTCACTGCGATCCTGACCTGAAAAGACATAAGGGAAACAAGGAAATTTGTGTGAGTGCCAAGGCAAAGAAATGAATATGTACTTGCAATTAAATGGCAAATTAGATCTAACTCCTACCTCAACACCTAAACGTGCGAACATTTGAATACAATTAGAAGAAAAGTACTAGTTCAATAAAACCTTTTGGCCTTACTACCTCAAATGAATTCACAGTGGAATTGTTGCCATACAAAATCTTCTGCACAAAATTTGCACACAAATTAGGTTTACAGAAATAAGAGATAAGCCTGAATCAGACCTCATGGATCTGAAAACTTCTGATCTGCACGGGTTGTTTTAATCCTAATACACTTGAGAATTCTTCATTTTGCAGACAAAACTCTAATAGAAACATGCTACTATTTCCTCATATACCGACTTATCTAATCGTATCAGCAATATTTACACTATTACCATTTGAATGATGAAAAAACAAATGATGTTATTTAACTATGGAATATTGCTGCTCTAAAACCCCCACAAGAAATATTGTCTCCTTGTTCTATTCTTCCTGCTTATAGACACATACAGAAAAAACATAACCAGCAACGTCGGCTCTCAGGCTCACCCAGAGAAGTTTAAAAAATGGCACAAGATGTTTCTTTATAAAAAAGCAATCAGAGGCTAAGATAGCACAGTACTGATAGGGCCAATGTACATAAATTACAATGCTCAGACTAGCCTGAACCACACGACGATAACACTACCGCAATCCATGAAAGGAACAATTTTGTCAGGAAGAGTTTTTCCCTATCTGCAGAAGAGTTTATACTGTGTCTTAGCTGGAAGAAATATGTTAGTTAGGGAATCAGCCTTCCTAAAATTGATTAAAGATATATTTTGCAGCTGTCTGTGGAATTTCTTGCTAGGATCTCAAAAAACCAGCAGTGAAGTGTAAATAATTGCAACCAAACAACATCCAAGGCACAAAGCGGCAAGTAAAAATGTGAGATGTTAAAGAATTTGAGGTTTCTCAGACCTAACAGATTCCACCAGAAAATTTGCCTGAACGTGGACTGACGTTGCTGAAATTTATCCTAATACCACCCAGGAGCTCTAGTCACAGATTGTGCCTCATCCTTCTAGCTATTGTGAAAAATGAACAAAAAGCTCGAGCCTGCTACAAATGAACCACAGGTAAGAATCTAGTATTAGACACCTGTATTTGAGAATTTTGGCCCAAATTTTCTCCAAAGCTCATTCCTATTTGAAAGGTCAGATTTAAGCACTGAAAAACGTAATAAAGTCTACTTCTGTGCAGCTGGGTTTTGATAAGCAAACGTACAGAAGCTTTTTGGGGAAAAAGCTATTTTGATTTGCATTTCCATTAAAAGTACCTCTTTCAACAGTCAAGGCTTGGGTCAACCTTGCCAGTGTTACATACCCACCAAGTGGATGAATAAACTCCGTTGAAAACTATGGAATTGAAATTTTTACAATACCTTTATAGGAAAAACTAGAGAGCATACATGACCAACAAAGAGTACTTCCAAATGAAGATACTCATCTGGTTCTCCTTCCCCCCGACTACTGCACAGTTCACGCTGTGAACTAATGATGGAATAAATGTACGTTAAAAAATAGAGCTATTTTAAGCTTACTGAGATCTTCAAGTGTGTTTGAGCACACAAATACTATTTCTTTCAATGAAAAATATCCGCTCAGAGCAATGTTTTAATGCCTCATTTATAGCCCTTCAAAAATAAGGCAGCTGATTAAGTGTTGCTGTGATAGTTCAGCGGCCACCCAATTGTTTCCCTTAATTCCTTTTCACTCCTGCTCCCTCACAAAGAATTAAACAGTGTTGAAACTTCATGCACGTACATTATATTTTATCTTTAAAAAAAAATAAAATCCAATGAGACACAAATGATAAATCAGAAACTCGAAGCAGTGATAATACCATTCCCCAGGGAAACGTCAAGGCAGATGTTGGCACCGTCAGCTAAAAACAATGAAAAAATATTTTCTACTTTCAACTCCAGAGTGGGGCAGGAGGGAGAACATCTGGAGACACAACAAAGTACAATGATAACAGTGGACTTTTCCATATGTCTTTTACACTTGCAAAGATATCCTGTTGATTTGCAGTAAATAAAATCCAATTCCAACAGCCTTCTTGCCACCAATTTTCAACCTTACGTCTTCGTTACAGCCAAAGGCAACGGTTAGCTAACAGCATGAGTGTATAAGTGTTCAGGAGTGTTTCCTGGGTCCGAGCTATGATAGCGACCTCGCATTCATCAGTTATTTGAACATTTATACTTATTCCAACCTATGATCTATTTTGCCACATGTAACTAAACCCCTGACATTAATAGCCCATTCAAACACAACTTATGGCTATGTTTGCTTACGCACAAGTCCCATGTCAATTATGACCCAGATTAAGTAGGATAAAGTGCTTTTGGGATAAATGACTGGGAAAATCATCAACCTGAAACAGATGTAGATATTTTAAACTGTGGTGGAAAGTGCAAATTACTAGAGACTACAAATTCATCCGTGAAGCCCTAGAGCATATGTCCCATGAAAAAGCATAGTGAATGCACACATTCACTGCCCTATACTATAAATCAGCCATCTGCAACAGTCCCCATTTCTTAGTGTACATCCAGATCTCCCCCAATCTATGCTGATACTTTATTTCCAAATTTTGGTGCTGTAACCTGTACTAAAAAAACTTTTTACGTGCTTGGAAAATTACCGTGTGACAAACACTGCCAGTACGGTTGATTTAATAGCACTCACGGGATGTGAGATTTATGCAGAGTGATAGTTCATTTGCACGCTGGACACTTACAAGGCAGATAGTCCAGACTCTCATAAACATCTCATCATTAAAACAAAAGAAAGTTGGGGTTTTTTTTAATGACAGCTCTTGAATGAGGTTCTTTCTGTGTTTCAAACTGCATAAATAAGATATGCTTGAAGTATGAGGTTGTCATTCTTCTTCAGCTTCGGAGGAGGCTGAGGGCTAACATTAAATCCCTAAAGCTGTGCCTGTGCCAGAAACCCACCCAGGAAAGTGCTGCCTCTTTCCTCCCAAGCAACAAGCGGAGTGAATCTTTTCTTCTCTGCAGCTCCTGCCTTTGTCAGCGGAGATCCGCTGTCGCGCTTGGCTCTCCAGCCACCCCCTGCCACCGCGCTCGCTCGGTTCCATCCTGCGGGATGGAGGATTATCCCGGATGCGGGGCTGCACTGACTGCTGGAGCTCAGTTTTGAGTAACAAGAAGTCGCTTCTTGGGGCTTTCACTCTCAGCTTGCCTTCCTCAAACTACAAATAACACCTCAAGGGCAGGAAGGGGGACATTCATAAACCAGCTATGAAGATTTTGTGGAAAACTGAAGCTTGAGATCTCAAATCATTACCAGACCATAATCTACAGCAAAATTAGAAGCACGTATTTAATGACAACCACTTCTTTCCACAATACGTATTTCCTGAGATCTCATTTTAGGATTTCTCGACTGCAGAGAAGCCCACAGCTGCCAATGCCACACGAGCAGCTGATGTCCATCTCAGTTGTCCACCATGCGCAGGTAGGGATGTGTCCACCGTTCTTCAGAGGACTAGCACCCCTAGGTCATTCTAAAATGATCCTGAATTAAATTTTTGTATTAAAACTTTTTTAACTTCAAGACCAATGAGTATTTTCCAATGGTTTGCACTAAAATGCTTTCATAAAGATCTTTTCACAAGCAAAATAATATCCCAAGCATTTGCTCGCAACCCAACACAAGCACTTTACAATCCAAAATGGAACCAGATTATCAACAAAACTAAAAATTATTTGATTCTCATGCTCCAAACTGAGAAAAAAATGCAAAAGAACCCACAAACAACGTCACACAAATTCAATTTAGAAAGGTGATAAGTTTTAATTAGAAAATGTGCCGCTGTTGACACAAAGAAAGAAATGTTTTGTTTGCAGCATATGGATTTATAATCCTCAGAGGCTCTTAAAATGTAAATGTAAGAGTAATTATTTTATCTACTTCTATAGATGTCATCGTTCACCTTTAAGCCACATGGGTTCCAGCTGGAGCCACTGCTCCTGTGAGTGGGAAAACATGACCTTTGCTGCCGAGTTGTGACATTGCACTTGGACTTCCACAGTCTTTTAAGAGAACAATAAATCCCCGGAGCTGGGTGATGCAAAGTGCTTCATCTAAAGTAGAGCGAGGCTTATCATCATGATCAGCGTTAAGGTATTTTATCCATCTCGCTAAAGCTACTGGAGAAGTAATAAACAAGGTTTTTAACACAGTCAATCATTTTTATTCGAGGCAATACTCCTTAATTAAACTAAGATTCCCTAAAGCAAGCTAGACAGACCTGAACCCAAACCCCCAAGTATTCAACTGAAGTACCTCAAGCGCATTCAATCCCAAGACATTACTGGTAAACAGTCCAAGAGGAACATAACCTGTTGAGGAACATCAGCAGAGGTCACTGCAGCCGGTCAGGGGATGTTACCATCACAGCAGCTCACCAGGTGCCACTCAACCCTCACTTCGATGTCAAGAGGGAGAGTTGTGCTTGCATTAGGTTATCTGGCTCCACGTAATGCTCTTAACTTTGCAGACTGAAGCTCACGCAAGGTTTTCTCCCCAGGCACTGTGTATTTTGGTGAGTATTTCAAGAAGACTTATCGTCACTCTTGGTACAAGTCAAGGATTACACTTGATTTCGGCTCTTAGCCCGACAGAGCACCAAGCTAACGGTGTATTAATATGCTAACATTTAGAGCAAACGCTGTTCATTCTCCCAGGGGATCTGTAAGTGTTATTTCATAAATAGAAAAAGAAAATAAACCAAAGCATCACCGCAATAAGCACACTCTTGCTTTTTCTGTATGCTCTTATAACACACTGGGCATTCTTCAGAGCACCCACTAATCTAAACCAATAGCCCTGGAAATGGCTATATCCTTTATTTAAATGTGTGAAGCCCTCAGGGCATAATCTGAATTTC